TTTTTTTTTTTTTTTTTTTTTTTTTTTTTGTGCTGAAACGTTTCACCTTCGGTCCGGAAGGCTTCATGAGTCAAGGAAACGCACAACAAAACTGATTCTTCCCCCAACAGCTTACTCCAAAGTGGAACAAACCAGATGTCCAGATGACCTGACTGATAAATGTTGGATTGTATACCTGGATTATTGAGCATGGACTTTGTTGTTTTCAACCAGTTTGACAAGACTGTCAACAAGGAAGAGGGCCGGCAATGGAGGAGGGGGCGTACCAAAGAGACCATCTTATCACAAGCAGAACTGGTTTGTTTCACTTTGGAGTAAGCTGTTAGGGGAAGAATCAGTTTTGTTGTGGGTTTCCTTGACTGATGAAGCCTTCCGGACTGAAGGCGAAACGTTTCAGCACAAAAAAAAAAAAAGAAACTGTCCAGATGACTGAAAAATGTTGGATTGTATACCTGGATTATTGCTCATGGACTTTGTTATCAATATTAGTTTTTTTTTTTTTTAAACATCAAGTTAATTAGAAGACTAAACTTTATGATACTTTCTGACGTCAGAAAATAAGAGTTAATCAGAACCCAGCTGTTTGCTTGTTTTAGGTTAATGTTTGTCAAAAGTCTGAGCTCAGGACTTTGCTTGTACATTATCTCACATATAAAACACATAACCTGGCCGTTATATTAAAGCATAATAAACAAGGAGTTGCAGCCTCTTCATCATTTTTGGTAATATTTGCTGACTTCTGCTTTTTCTGGTTTATTAATTTCACCACTTCCTTTTAACTCAGACATAAGTCTCAAAGATGCACAACAAATCAGTTCCCTATATATCCAGTATTCTATTTTACCGAAACACACAGAAAAATATATAGCTAAAGGGACACATGAGGCTAGATTTTATGCTATTGATGTTGCACGCTGCCATGAAAGGTGGGCGACAATTACCTGTGTCTGTTAGCAAAATGTCTTAAGATTCAGTGAACGTATCTTTATGAAACGTTCAGTAAATGACCTCTGTGTGTGCATGTGCATACAACCGACTAACCTTTGGTCAATGCAACTCAAACACTGAACTTAGGAAACCAAAACATACTACAACTTATTTACTTTTATTTTTTTTAAATATATTTAAATTAAACTTGGTTTGGTAGTAGCTGAGAGTAATCCACAACTCAAACATAAAACTCAAGTGTGCAAGGCAGCAGGAAATATGTATTATTTTGATACATAATAGTTTCAATAAGCAAACAAACCAAACAAAACAGCATACCAAGAGGAGTAATTATTTTCTCTAAAACGATAAAAAAAACCAAAATAAAAGTTATTCTGATTCATACAGAAATGCTGCTTGAGCCAAAATAAAAATAGGACATACAAAATTATTATTTTTAGATTATTATTATTATTATTATTTAATAATTGTTTATGAAATGAAATGTTGGTATCATACCTCCCTTTAAAAATGACTAACATATTAGTGAGAAAAATAAATGTTTCTGAGTCATCCTTATTACAAAAATATATTTATTCATTTGAAAATCAAGCCATTAATATTTAAATTTGTTTAGCAAATAAAAATTTAGAATTCTGATTTTACAAAATAAATGAAAATGTGATTTTGTCGCCCCCTATTGATTACTTTTAGTATCGCTTGGTTTTATGAGTTCTCCAAGCTGCATTGTGATTGGTTCAACATGTCCGCGTTCCCTGGGTGGCCAATGGCGCGCGCTTTCCTTCACTTGGAGTCTGCTTTGCATGCAAGCTCCTCCTTTATAGTTACCAACCACTCCCCCCCACACCCTCCGCCGTGATGCTTGCCACTCTTCCACGGTTGGAATGGACGACGCGTGTTTCTGATCTGAAAATAAAAGAGAACCGAGCTGATGTGTTGATGGAGATGCGATGGTGCACGAGGAAGGTGATGAAACGCGCAGCTTTTTTGCGCATTTTCCGCATCACTATTTGCAGTTGTTGGCTCTGCTTCTCCTCTCTGTGTGTCTGTCTGTCTGCGCCTGTTCACATTGTTACACATTATTATCTGTTCTTCCTCTTCTATAATAATCCCAGGCGGTGTGAACCATGATCGACAGAGGAACACGGAGAGAGGAATCTGGAGGCAAATAATCCATCTACAGGGCGAAGAAGAAGGAGATGAGGACCATGATGGCTCCGCTGAAAACAACATTATTAGTGTTCGTGCTGTGGGGTGAGTTTTGTATCTGCTGCCTCTCCATCTGTCACATGGCTGGGCAGCAGGACTATTTACATCTTACACACAGCAAGTGTTTGAATGCTCCATCTGCTGTCTTATAAGAATGATGAACTCACCTGTGAGACTCTTAGCAGCTTATATGTGTCACACACACACCCTGATCCACAAATCATTTTTATTACCTGCAACACTGCTAATGCCTGAACTATAAGTATTCATTTCTTTTTGCATTTTTTTCAAGAAACTGCAAACAAATTAAATGACTCACTTGCTCTGGTCAATAGTTCAATCTTTATTTTATTAGCTTTTGGCATAAGGGAGTTTTTGCCTGATTCTTTTCACTTTTTGTGTAATGACCAATGTTCATATTCAACACGTGTCTTGATTTGTTGTGAATAATTCATTAGAAGTCACCCAGACTGAACAGTAGTAGTATATATCTGACGTTTAATATATATATATATATATATATATATATATATATATATATATATA